AATTCTGCTAGGAGATTTTAATGCAAAGATCGGAAGGGAAAAAATCTTTGGCCCCACCGTCGGAAAATTAAGCCTTCATGAAGAAACATCCGAAAACGGCATGATGTTGATTGACTTCGCGGCAGGAAAAATATGGTAGTTAGCAGCACCAGATTCAAGCATCTCGATATACACAAGGCCACCTGTATTTCTGCTGGTCAAGCAACGAGAAATCAAATTGATCAGGTTGTGATAGACGGAAGGCTTTCGTCCAGTGTTTTAGACGTTCGATCGATACGAGGAGCGAATATCGATTCGGACCACTACCTTGTGGCAGGCAAGGTTCGCACCCGTCTTAATGTAGCAGCAAAGGTACGATCTAACACAACACGAAAACTCGACGTCGAAAAGTTGCCAAAGCCTACTCCGCTCAACGTACCCACCTGCTTGACGAAAGCACTTATTGTCTCGATAATGGTATAGTAGCACAATGGCAAAGAATTTCTCACTCCCTAGAAACTGCAGCAAAAGCAACACTTGGGTACCAAAGGCCACCATCAAGAAACCCATGGTACAATCAGGAGTGTCGTAATGCTACTGATGCGAAAAACGCAGACAGTAGCAACAAGAATTGCAATGGTGAATTATCGGCAGAAAAGGAGAGATGAGAAACGTGTTTTCAGAAAAAAGAAGAAAGAACAAGAAAAACGTGAGCGTGAGCAAATCGAGATGTAAAGGAGTCAGAATGAAGTCCGAAAATTTTACCAACGAGTAAAACACCAAACTGAAGGTTTTGGTGCAGAAACATCTTCGTGTAGACATGAAGGAGGAAACCTAGTGACAGATACAGACAGCGTGCTGAGGATCTGGAAGGAGCATTTTGAAAAATTTCTGGTATCAAATAGTGGCGGTGAAGTAGATACCCCAGTATCAATAAGAGATGATGGTATAGAGTGTATACCACCTAGCCAAGATGAGGTCAAAATAGTAATCAATCGGCTGAAAAATAATAAAGCAGCAGGTGCCAATGGATTACCAGCCGAACTATTTAAGACTGGTGGTCAGATGCTGGAAGCATGCACCAGCTGATTAGTACAATTTGACTAGAGGAATGCATGCCCAATGACTGGAACCTCAGCATCCTGTGTCCCGTGCACAAAAAAGGAGACAAGACGATATGTAACAACTATAGAGGAATACGTCTCCTTCCCATCGCGTATAAAATGCTATCCAGTGTGCTGTGTGAACGATTGAAGCCAATGGTCAACGACATTATGGGACCATACCAATGCGGCTTCAGACCTGGCAAATCCACCATTGACCAGATTTTCACTCTGCGACAAATCCTGGAAAAGACCCACGAAAAACACATCGACACATACCACCTATTCGTCGACTATAAAGCCACATTAGACAACTCTATCCGTTCAGAGGTGTTTAAAGCCATTTCTGCGTTTAGCATTCCTTAAAATTAATTCGGTAGTGCAGGATAACATTAACTGGCACAAGAACAGCAGTTAAAGTCGGAAAGAACCTCTCGGAGCCCTTTAATACTAATCGAGGATTCAGACAAGGTGACAGTTTGTCGTGTGATCTTTTTAACATCCTGCTGGAAAAGGTCATATGAGAGGCAAAAGTGAACAGAAATGGCACTCTGTACACCAAACAGCACATGTTACTCGCCTACGCCAATGACATCGATATAATGGGTCGAACATTGCGTGCGAACATTTGAACAAATTGAGAAGGAGTCTGCCAAAGTGGGTCTGGCAATAAACGGCGAGAAGACCAAGCTGATGGTATCAACGCACAAGACGTCCAGTAGACTGGGACCAACTGTGGAACTTGAGAACTACAGCTTCGAGGTAGTCAAACATTTTATATACCTTGGTACCGCCATAAATAAAACGAATGACATCAGTTTTGAAATTCGGAGAAGGATATTGTTGGCCAACTATGGTTTAAGTAAGCAGTCAAGAAACAAGGTCACCTCCCGCCAAACCAAACTCACACTCTACATGACGCTGATACTACCCGTGCTATTATATGGATTTGAAGCATGGGTATTTACGCATGCAGATGAGGCAGCTCTTGGAGTGTTTGAGGGAAAAAATTCTCCGAAAGATCTATGGGCCGTGTCGACGGTGAATATCGGCGTCGAATGAAATACGAGCTTTACAATTTATACGCGGACATTGACATAGTCAGTCGTATTGAGCTGCAGCGTCTACGATGGCTAGGTCATGTTGTGCGAATGAATGATAATGCTCCAGCTCAAAAGTCATATAGAAGCGAGCCTACTGATGGTCCCCTTAAAAGTAGAAGGCCACAAATGAGATGGAAAGACCAAGTACAAAACAACATCTTGGAACGTGGTCTTTCAAATTGGAAAAGATGCGCACAAGACCGACGCGCTTGGAATTTTTTTAAGCTCGTGAACTGCGCTAGGAATTTCAATATCCAGTTTTATACCCTACACAACTATGCTGTCAGGGTATTATAGCTTTGTGCAGCTCCAAGAGTTTGTAACGCCCCGAAATATTGGTCCTAGATCCACCTTCGAGTATACCGATCGTCATATCTCGACTAGCTGAATCGATCTAGACATGTGTGTCCGTCCGTCCGTCCGTCTACCCATTATAATTTGTAAGCACGATTCAGGCCACAGTTATGGGCAAATCTTCACGAAATTTTTGTATGTAGGATGGGTTCTGGCCAATGAAGAACCCTATTGTAAAGATCGATTAATATTTAGGGGATGGACCGAAAAACTTTATTTTTGTCTGATTTTCTGGTCGCTCCAGAGGCCACAATTATGGCCCAAACATCTCGAATTACAGGGAGAAGGGGATAGGGCCAAATAATAAGCATGCGTGTTTTGATAAAGATCGATCAATATTTAGCGGGTCAAATGGACCCTGACTTTGTGTGAAAAATGACAAATTTTGTATTCTATACCGTATATATTTACTCCTGAAGGACATAGACCCGAGAAGTTGATAGTATATGCAAGAGGAGTGGTTGGCCTTTAAATCGATACCAATTATATTGTCGTATGGGGATATGGGAGTTACACTTAAATATTTATAGGTGCTTAGGTATTCATATATTAGAGGGCGACAATATAGCGTTGATCGCTTTGAACTGTTCCGTGAGGTTCCAGTTATGGTCAAGGACAATGCCTATAATTTTCGGTGATGATCAGATAATAATTTTGGTATGAAGTGGACCGAAAACTTAATTTTTGTGTGCCTTGTCGAATCGATAGGCCACAATTGATATTATTTAGTAACCCAATGCCAAACTAGCGGTCGGAAATATAGTGCTGATCGCTTTGAAATTTTCCATGAGATTCCAGTTGTGGTCAAGAATAACTCCTATAATTTTCGGTGATGATCAGATAATAATTTTGGGATGAAGTGGACCTAAAACTTAATTGTAAATTGGAGTCGATCTATAGGCCACAATTGATAGCCGAACTTCACAACACCAAGGGTGAAGGGAATCTGGACAAGTAAATGACGGGCTGTACATAATATTAATAATATTCGGAAAATATACCAATGTAAGGAATAGATGCTGTTGACCTCTAATCGGGCAAGAGGGTGCAAATATCACGAAATAGTGAAAAGGCTTGGAATATAATTTCGCAGAAAGTTAGAGTTCCGTGGTAGTTATATGGTCGGCCCCGTCCGCCTATACTGCTCCGCTCACTGGTTTAAAGTTGTTTTCAGTAGCCTATAGGGAGTAGATTTTTTTAAAGAATATTTTTCTAAAGGACTATAAAACGTGTGGATTTTTTAAAGAAAAATTTCCAATGGCCTATGAATGCCGGGGAATTTTTGAAAGAATTTTCTTTTTTAAGGCCTATAATTGCCTTACAGAATGAAGAATTAAGTAATATTTTTCAATGTCTAAAAACATGGTGATTTTTTTTTTAATTTTTCAAGGCCTATGAAAGACGTACATTTTTGAAAGAATATTTTTTAAAACCTTTCAAAAGCGAGGTTTTTTAAAGAGTATTTTTCTGTAGGCATATAAAAATGCGCTTTTTTAATATTTTTACAGGGGCGGATTTTTATAAGGAGTGGATTTATTAAAGGATATTGTTACAAGGCTTAAAAAGCGTGGATTTAAAAAAAATATATCTTTTTCGATGCCTATAAGAATCATGGATTTTATAAAGAATATTTTCCGTGACGTAGACTTTTAAAACAAATATGTTTTCAAGGTCTATAAAAGACATGAATTTTTATTAAAGATTATTTTTCGAAGCCTATAAAAAACGCGTGGATTTTTAAAGAATATTTTTTTAAGGCCTTTGAAATACGAAAATTTAAAAAAAAAAATTTTATAAATAATATGTAAATAAAAATAAAAAATTATAATTAAAATAATATAAAAAATACACACTTATTTCTCACCTCCTTGCTTCCCCTTCAACATTGTGTTGTAATTTTTTGTGTTCAATTTTTTTGTTTTGTTTCCTTTTTTCATTTTTGTTTTGCCTTAAAAAACTATTTAACAGTTTTAATTGTTTATAACTAATTTAATTTCAATTGGTTGGTTTTCTTTTTTTCTCTCATTTCTTTTTGTTTCTTCATTGAATTTCCTATTTATTTACTACTATAATGTATAGTAAAATTGTTTTTGTTTTTTTTTTTTAATTTTTAATTCTATACGAATTAGACTATGGTATTCTTATAGGGTTTTTCTATCGATCGGTTTGTCGTTAGTAGCAGCTTCATCATCATCGAATCCGTTTTATCGCCAGCACTGCATTATCGTAGATAGATAGTGAGAGATAGTGATAGAGAGAGAGAGAGAGTGGGGGCAGCAGAGGATGATTTTTTTTGGTTATTGTTGAAACGTGATTTGTTTTTTGTTGAAATTTCATTTTTGTTGCTCTTGCGAATATTGAGTATTTTTTGTTGTTGTTGTTTTTGTCATAAAAATAGTAGTCTAAGATTAGGTAAAACTTAAATCGAAAATTAATTTGCATTTTGTTGTTGCAGTGTTGTGACATTATTCTCCTAATTTTATTGAACTATTATATGGGGTGCTGACAGCAGAACTGTCACTGTGGCGATGATTGTGAACAGGGTGAAGACAATTAAACAAAATCTGAAAGGAAGGAAAATAAATTATTAAATTCAATTTTAAATACTTGAACTGCTTACCGATCCACAACCATAGCTGCGAATTTCCAATCGCTTATTAGCTCCGCCTCATCATCGGCCTTGCGCATGCGCGCCGTTATAAATTGCAATTCTTTAAGAATTAAATGGAGATCTTTGTGATTACAACCGATGGCATTGTGGTGCTCTTCCACCGTTGTGGGTCGGCCGAAACTCCTGGAAAAATAGAAAAAAAAAATTAAATATACTTTTTAAAGGTAAAAAAAAGGCGTGGATTTTTAAAATAATTTTTTCTCACACCTATATAAGGCGTGGATTTTTTAAATAATTTTTTTCTCACACCTATATAAGGCGTGGATTTTTTAAATAATTTTTTTCTCACACCTATATAAGGCGTGGATTTTTAAAATAATTTTTTCTCACACCTATATAAGGCGTGGATTTTTAAAATAATTTTTTCTCACACCTATATAAGGCGTGGATTTTTAAAATAATTTTTTCTCACACCTATATAAGGCGTGGATTTTTAAAATAATTTTTTCTCACACCTATATAAGGCGTGGATTTTTAAAATAATTTTTTCTCACACCTATATAAGGCGTGGATTTTTAAAATAATTTTTTCTCACACCTATATAAGGCGTGGATTTTTAAAATAATTTTTTCTCACACCTATATAAGGCGTGGATTTATTAAAGAATATTTTTCCAAGGCCCACATATATAAGGCGTGGATTTTTAAAATAATTTTTTCTCACACCTATATAAGGCGTGGATTTTTAAAATAATTTTTTCTCACACCTATATAAGGCGTGGATTTTTAAAATAATTTTTTCTCACACCTATATAAGGCGTGGATTTTTAAAATAATTTTTTCTCACACCTATATAAGGCGTGGATTTTTAAAATAATTTTTTCTCACACCTATATAAGGCGTGGATTTTTTTTTTTAAAATAATTTTTTCTCACACCTATATAAGGCGTGGATTTTTAAAATAATTTTTTCTCACACCTATATAAGGCGTGGATTTTTAAAATAATTTTTTCTCACACCTATATAAGGCGTGGATTTTTAAAATAATTTTTTCTCACACCTATATAAGGCGTGGATTTTTAAAATAATTTTTTCTCACACCTATATAAGGCGTGGATTTTTAAAATAATTTTTTCTCACACCTATATAAGGCGTGGATTTTTAAAATAATTTTTTCTCACACCTATATAAGGCGTGGATTTTTTAAATAATTTTTTCTCACACCTATATAAGGCGTGGATTTTTTAAATAATTTTTTCTCACACCTATATAAGGCGTGGATTTTTAAAATAATTTTTTCTCACACCTATATAAGGCGTGGATTTTTAAAATAATTTTTTCTCACACCTATATAAGGCGTGGATTTTTTAAATAATTTTTTCTCACACCTATATAAGGCGTGGATTTTTTAAATAATTTTTTCTCACACCTATATAAGGCGTGGATTTTTAAAATAATTTTTTCTCACACCTATATAAGGCGTGGATTTTTAAAATAATTTTTTCTCACACCTATATAAGGCGTGGATTTTTTAAATAATTTTTTCTCACACCTATATAAGGCGTGGATTTTTAAAAATAATTTTTTCTCACACCTATATAACGCGTGGATTTTTAAAATAATTTTTTCTCACACCTATATAAGGCGTGGATTTTTAAAATAATTTTTTCTCACACCTATATAAGGCGTGGATTTTTAAAATAATTTTTTCTCACACCTATATAAGGCGTGGATTTTTAAAATAATTTTTTCTCACACCTATATAAGGCGTGGATTTTTAAAATAATTTTTTCTCACACCTATATAAGGCGTGGATTTTTAAAATAATTTTTTCTCACACCTTGGCCTATATAAGGCGTGGATTTTTTAAATAATTTTTTCTCACACCTTGGCCTATATAAGGCGTGGATTTTTTAAATAATTTTTTCTCACACCTTGGCCTATATAAGGCGTGGATTTTTTAAATAATTTTTTCTCACACCTTGGCCTATATAAGGCGTGGATTTTTTAAATAATTTTTTCTCACACCTTGGCCTATATAAGGCGTGGATTTTTTAAATAATTTTTTCTCACACCTTGGCCTATATAAGGCGTGGATTTTTTAAATAATTTTTTCTCACACCTTGGCCTATATAAGGCGTGGATTTTTTAAATAATTTTTTCTCACACCTTGGCCTATATAAGGCGTGGATTTTTTAAATAATTTTTTCTCACACCTTGGCCTATATAAGGCGTGGATTTTTTAAATAATTTTTTCTCACACCTTGGCCTATATAAGGCGTGGATTTTTTAAATAATTTTTTCTCACACCTTGGCCTATATAAGGCGTGGATTTTTTAAATAATTTTTTCTCACACCTTGGCCTATATAAGGCGTGGATTTTTTAAATAATTTTTTCTCACACCTTGGCCTATATAAGGCGTGGATTTTTTAAATAATTTTTTCTCACACCTTGGCCTATATAAGGCGATTTTTTAAATCATTTTTTCTCACACCTTGGCCTATATAAGGCGTGGATTTTTTAAATCATTTTTTCTCACACCTTGGCCTATATAAGGCGTGGATTTTTTAAATCATTTTTTCTCACACCTTGGCCTATATAAGGCGTGGATTTTTTAAATAATTTTTTCTCACACCTTGGCCTATATAAGGCGTGGATTTTTAAAATAATTTTTTCTCACACCTATATAAGGCGTGGATTTTTTAAATAATTTTTTCTCACACCTTGGCCTATATAAGGCGTGGATTTTTTAAATAATTTTTTCTCACACCTTGGCCTATATAAGGCGCGGATTTTTTAAATAATTTTTTTCTCACACCTTGGCCTATATAAGGCGTGGATTTTTTAAATAATTTTTTCTCACACCTTGGCCTATATAAGGCGCGGATTTTTTAAATAATTTTGTAAATCTTTGTTTTGTTTTGATGATTTTGTAATACTTACGCCGATGACCCAATCGCTGTCTGAGACCCCGATACGGTATGCCGGAAATCATCATCGATATCCAGTACATTGGCCAGCAGTGATTTCGACGATCGCTCCTTCAGTTCCAATTCCTTCATGCGATTCGTTAAGAGTATGTGCTTTCTGGTTATTTTGCGACCAGGTCGGCTCATGCGTAAAATCCAAGGCAGCCATTGTAGAAATACGGAACGTATCTAAGGCGAAAGAAAACATTAGAATAACAATAAAGAAGAATTTCAGATAATGAATAAGGCTATTTACCCATGGTGGCATTTCATGTATATCCGCCGTACGATGATGATAATTTAATACCACAACCGTCAGTACCACCGACGATGCAACCATAAACATAATACAATTGAAATAGGTACCTAAGGTTGGACACACATGGGGACAGGTTTTGGAAGAGAATAACAAAACAATTTGTTTTTTGTTTGCAAAAGAAAAAGAGAAATTGGGAAACGATTAATTTTGATTTTTTAAGTTCAATTATTTTTAACAACACACATACACATATACACACACAGTTTATATATATTTTTAAAAAATTAAAAATATTTTTTTTTAATATTTTTTATTTTTTTTAACTACTTAATAAAGTATAACTAATCGATTTTTTTTTAATTTAATAAAAGGGTTAGTGAGTGTTTTATTTTTGGCTTGTGGATTTTGTAATTGGATGATTTGAGATATTTGGTGTAATAAATAAGTGAATATTTTTGGAAAAGTGGTACGATCATGCTTTCGACATGCTGAGCGTGCATAGTGAAGCGTAGCTATAGTACATTATTTTTTTTGTTATGGATGAAAAAATAAATAAAATTGTAAGGAATATTAAATAAAAAATTTAATTTAAAATAAAAACTAAATTCGGAATAATTCCAGGATTTTTTAAAGAATATTTTTTCAAGACCTGCATTAAGGGTAAATTTTTTTTAGGAAGGCGTGGATTCTTTATTTTCCGAGGCCTATACAAGGCGTGGATTTTTTGAAGAATCTTTTCCGAGGCCTATACAAGGCGTGGATTTTTTAAAGAATCTTTTTCCGAGGCCTATACAAGGCGTGGATTTTTTAAAGAATCTTTTTCCGAGGCCTATACAAGGCGTGGATTTTATAAAGAATATTTTTCCGAGGCCTATACAAGGCGTGGATTTTATAAAGAATATTTTTCCGAGGCCTATACAAGGCGTGGATTTTATAAAGAATATTTTTCCGAGGCCTATACAAGGCGTGGATTTTTTAAAGAATCTTTTTCCGAGGCCTATACAAGGCGTGGATTTTTTAAAGAATCTTTTTCCGAGGCCTATACAAGGCGTGGATTTTTTAAAGAATCTTTTTCCGAGGCCTATACAAGGCGTGGATTTTTTAAAGAATATTTTTCCGAGGCCTATACAAGGCGTGGATTTTATAAAGAATATTTTTCCGAGGCCTATACAAGGCGTGGATTTTATAAAGAATATTTTTCCGAGGCCTATACAAGGCGTGGATTTTATAAAGAATATTTTTCCGAGGCCTATACAAGGCGTGGATTTTATAAAGAATATTTTTCCGAGGCCTATACAAGGCGTTTTATTTTATAAAGAATATTTTTTCGAGGCCTATACAAGGCGTGGATTTTTTAAAGAATATTTTTTTCGAGGCCTATACAAGGCGTGGATTTTTTAAAGAATATTTTTTTCGAGGCCTATACAAGGCGTGGATTTTTTAAAGAATATTTTTTTCGAGGCCTATACAAGGCGTGGATTTTTTAAAGAATATTTTTTCTAGGCCTAACTAAGGCGTGAATTCTTTAAAGAAAAGATTTTTTCAATTATTTTATTTTTTTTCATGCCCTGTCTGGGAATTTTTAAGGAATATTTTTGTAAAGCCTCTATAAATCTGGGAATTTTTAAAGAACATTTCTTTCCTAAGGTCTATAATTTTGAAAGAATATTTTTCAGGGTCAATATGTGGCGTAGATGTATTAAACAATATCTATATACAGGAGTAAGGCTGCGGCTGTGCAATGATGCAGATTAATCTGCAGGATGCGCAATCTTTGCCGCTTTCCTACTCCTACAGAGTTTCGATGGATGTGTTCAGTCGAAACCGAACCCATCCTGAATCGAAGTTCAATTTCCCCCCACGCTCCCTGAGATACGCCACCCCTTTGGGTCAACCGCAACTCTTGCAACCATCCCACCAACCTCGTTACAGGGAGCTAGAGTGACAACAGTCCAGTTCGATGTAGTGAGGCTGGGATTTAGCAGCGCCAGCATTTTCAGCAGGAGCTCCTTGTCCACTGAAGGTGGGGGAACCCAGGCTGAGAGAACCCGTCTGGCCTTGCAATGATGCAGGTTGATCTACAGGATGCGCTTCCTATGCCGCTTTCCTACTCCTACTGAGTTTCGGTGGATGTGTTCAGTCGAAACCGAACCCATTCTGAACCGAAGTTCAATTTCCCCTCACTCTCCCTGACATACGCCTACCCCGGTGGGTTAACCGCAACTCTTGCAACCGTCCCACCATCCTCGTTACAGGGAGCTAGACTGACAATAGCCCAGCTCGATGTAGTGAGGCGGGGATTTTTCAGCGCCAGCATTTTCAGCAGCCCACTGAAGGTGGGGGGACCCAGGCTGGGATTTCGGAAAGGGATACCGCAGCAAGGTTGGCTCCTTCCCAGAGAGCGCGCCAAAGCCGCCAACGGTTTTCACAAGGAAATCCTTAGATTTTTTGTTCAGACAGTTGATGACTTTGGCCCCCTTCTGCATGAAGGCACTACCAAACTGACGATCCCCTTGGTTCGACCCACAGAAGATGGCCAACCGAAGGGCTCTTTCAAAGAGCTAACAATGACTATCACTGATCCTGCCATGAGCATCAGATTTGTCAATGATTGCCACTAGAAGGTCTTCTTCAGCGGCTACCTTTGTCGGTCTGTCATATGGCTTACGCTGTCTTTGGCTATGAGCCGCCAACGGCTTTCACAAGGAAATCCTTAGATTTTTTTTTCAGACAGTTGATGACTTTGGCACCCTTCTGCATGAAGGTACTACCAAACTGACGGTCCCCTTGGTCCGACCCACAGACGATGGCCGACCTAAGGGTTCCTTCAAAGAGAAAACAAATGACTATCACTGATCCTGCCATGAGGATCACATGTGTCAATGATTGCCACTAGAAGATCTTCTTCAGCGGCTACTTTGGTCGGTCTGTCATATGGCTTATGCTGTCTTTGGCTACGAACTTTAGAGTTCGCCTTTCCAGAGGAGGTTGATGCCTTCACTGGACTTTGCTCCACCGTTTGTTGTCCAGCGACAGTCGCATATGAGGAAGAAGGATCTGCCAGATGAGAAGTCATCTTCTTCTTGGGTGAGAGTTGCGGACCTGCTGAAGAGCGGATGCGCTTCACAGATTTGCAGAGTTTTTTTTTTTTTTAATATTTTTGCAGGTCTCATTGGAGGCGTATATTTGTAATGAAATTTTTTTTCTTTAGGTCCCATTGAGACGTATATTTATACCCTACACAACTATGTTGTCAGGGTATTATAGCTTTGTGCAGCTCCAAGAGTTTGTAACGCCGCGAAATATTGGTCCTAGACCCAACTTTAAGTATACCGATCATATCATATCTCGACTAGCTGAGTCGATCTATATATGTGTGTCCGTCCGTCTGTCCATAATTTGTAAACACGATACAGGCCACAGTTATGGACCAATCTTCACGAAATTTTGCATGTAGAATAGATTCTGTCGAATGAAGATCCCTATTGTTTTTGGTAAAGATCGGTTAATAATTAGGGGATGAAATAGACCAAATATTTGTTTTTGTCTGATTTTCGCTCCAGAGGCCGTAATTATGGCCTAAACATCGGGAATTTTTGCATGGAGAAGGGGATCTGGCCAAAGAATAAGCATGCTTGTTTTGACAAAGATCGGTCAATATTTAACGGGTTAAATGGACCCTGACTTTTGTGTGGAAAAATGACAACATTTGTATTCTATGAGGTATATATTTGCACCTGAACGTCCTAGACCCGAGAAGTTGATAGTTTGTTCAAGAGGAGTGGTTGACCTTTAAATTGATACCAATTATATTATCGTATGTAGTCGGATGCGCATTTACACATAAATATATACAGGTGCTTACGTATTCATATATTATTTAGTAACTCATTACCACACTAGAGGATGGAAATATAGCGCTCATCGCTTTTAAATTTTCCTTGAGGATCCAGGTATGGTCAACGACAACGCCTATAATTTTCGGTGATGGATCAGATAATAATTTTGGGATGAAATGGACCGAAAACTTATTTTTTGGTTTTTTTTTTTTCGAGTCGATCTATAGGGCAAAATTGAAAGCCGAACATCACAACACAACCCACGGTGAAGGGAATCTGAACAAGTGATTAGAATGTTTGAATATTTGTAAAATTTGTTTACCTCTAGTCGGTCAAGAGGGTGCAAATATCGCGAAATATTGTCCAAGCTCAGAATGTAGAACCACAGAAAGTTAGAGTTCCGTGGTAGTCGTATGGTCGGTCCCGTCCGAATATACTGCTCCGCTCTCTGGTTTTAATATAAATATTTATTTTCGGAGCCTATGAAGGGCTCAGATTTTTAAAAGATTGTTATTAAGTCCTGTTTAACGAATAGATTTTTTAATGAATATTTTGATTAGAGCCTATACAAGGTAGGGATTTTATAAATATATTTTTTTTTTCAGGGTACATAAGGCGTGGGTTTTATTTAGATTCTTTAATGTCTTTATAAGTCATGTATATGGTAACGAATAGTTTTTCTAAAGCCTTTATAAAGGCGTATATCGTAAAGATTATATTTCCGAGGTCCAAGTATGCTTCTTTAAACGTGAATGGATATTTTTTAGGAGCCCTATATATTAGGTAAAAAAATTGCTCAGGTCCTATGGCAGGTCTGGATGTAAAATAAAGTTTTTCCGAGTTCTAAGAAAGGCTTGTATTAATTTTTTTAAAGAATAGAAAAAATCAAAAATAAAAAAAAAGTTTGTACATATATCTATATATAAAACATTTACACTACTTACAAACATACCACAATTACTACAAATTATATATGCGAAATTAAATTTAATGTAGAATAAAAAAAAAATAATATTTATAAAAAAATAAATCTATATTTTAAAATAAAAAGATTTATAACAAATTAGCAAAAACTTTGAAAATCGTTGAAAAAAAAATTTTCTAGTTTTAATATTATTTATAAAATACGGGTTTGTTTTAATTATTTGAATTGGTTATTTATTTTTAATTAATAAAAAATCTATATATTTTTTAAATGTATGACTTTATGTTTTTTTAAAAAAATGTTAATGGAAATGGGAGTGATTTTTTTTTTTAAATATGTTCTCAATATTATTATATGAAATTTAGTCATGTTTGTTTGAT